CGCGTGATGAACTTGCAGCGAACAACAACGCCAATTCCGTCCATCAGACAGTTATCGCACCTAGGGCAACCATCCTCGATGAACCGAGGAGCTGTTTCTTTTCCTATGTAACTAGTGGCTTAGCTTCCGCATCCTGTAAATATTGCAACCCCTTGTGCAGGAATTACCCTTATTTAATGCCATCTCTGATGTTGGGTTCCAGCGTGAACCCAAAAGTTTAGGTGGGTAAGGATGTTGTGCCAGCGATCGCCTCTACCTCATCTCATCTGCTTACTGGGACTCACGTTTTACGTTTCTTTACTTTGCATATTTTTACCTCCCCTCCCGTCCGCTCCGCTTCATTCCTTTTGTCTCCTTTTCGATACCCTTACTGTTACAATGGTGATACTGATTACTCTTTCGTATTATTAATCCTTTTGCTTATCCTCTATCGCCTCTTTTTATATTTTACTTCACCCTCATCTTCTTGTTGCATCTCTTTGTCTTTCTGCTCGTCCATTCTCTTGTATTTTCTCCTTTCCTCATGTTTCTGCCACTCTTCTCTTACGCCTCCTTTATCTATCTTTACCAAACCCACCTAATCAGCCCTACTAACCGTTCCTTCTTCTTCAGTCTTTACTTATCTCCTGTATTCTACCTGGTAGTTTTACTTTATGTATTCTCTTTTTTTTCAGTATCCTCCGACCTAGATCTTCGTTTTATTCCTTTTTCCTGCTATCCGCAACCCTCCCTCCACTATTTGCCTTTCCTCTCCTCCACCTACTGAATCGTCTCCTTGTCCCTCTTTTAGCTCATCACTCATTCCACGCAAGAGCGCACGTGTTTTGTTATTTTACCTTGCCGGTTTTTAAAGTGCAGCATGGGCACACTTTCTCGCACCTACTGGCCGCAGACAGTACCGGAGCCAAAATGATCTGCATAGTCGCCCCCCCCCGCCCTGAGCCTACCACACGTTGAAAACATCTAGGCGTTCCCCGCGTGTGGATAGAGTGCAACAACATGGCACATGACTGATTTTACCTAACAGGATCTTTCCACATACTTTGCTCTTTTTTGAGGCATGACGTATAGCATAGCGTCCTGCTTTTTTCGTTAACTGAGTGGTGTATTTGAAGCCTGTAGCACGGAGAGGTCCGGGTAGTG